TGAATGGAACTAACGGTCTCCTGCAAACTCCCCTCCCCTTTTGCTCCTCTTTTATTCCCTATGGGAGCCATTCATCATCCACCTGTGCCTTTACTCCTGAGTCGACCCCTGTTCCTTAGCTGTTCCCTTGTCCTGGCAGCTCTGCACATGCACACATTGGAAACAGGCTCCAGCTGTTTGTCTGCCTCACTGATGCCTGATTCTGAAGGCAGCTGATAACTGTCAGATGGCCCTGGCCCCCTCTCTGCCTCTGACACAGAGCCCTAATCAGAGCCTTCCCCAGACTCCAGGACTGGCCCATGTTCCTCCCCAACCTCCTCACTGTCCAAATCTGCTGGTTGCTGGCAGGCCACAACTATGCCTCTTTCTCTTCTGCTCATGCATTTCTACTGAAGCAGTATTTTTGTAGCGGAAGTGTATGTAACTTGTCGCAACAAGTTTGCTGAAGTTTTCAATTGTCAGAAGGCTTCTTGAAACCCTTCTCTGAGAGCCATTATTGTGGTCACCAAATAAAACTTTGGTTTTATTATAAAGAGACACCTGTCCTAGATCCTTCCAAATGCACCCAAGAAAATTGAGTTTTCCTGTTCAGAAAAGTATAAGTATAACCTTTATTGTCATTGTACTTAAATACAACGAAAAGGGCAGACAATAAATAAACAGCTTGCAAAAACATCTTTGAATTGTGCTGATTATACTATACCAAGTACAGGCGGCTCTTCTTCGTCTGAAGCTCTTCCATCAATCTATTTCCTTTCAGATCCAGGTCTCCCAGGCGCAGATCCCCAGTTCGCAGGCGGTCCAGATCCAGATCTCCAGGCCGGAGGCGTCACCGCAGTCGATCCAGTTCCAATTCTTCTCGATAAAACGCAGGACAAGGCAGCTCTGTTTTTTTTAAAAGTTAAAAGTGCACCCATTTAAAATGGTCTCTTTTTTTAAAGGAAAAAACAATGGAATCAGAATAAAGGAAAGAGGCGGTTGAGAAATGATAAAAACCAGCTAAGAATCTTGGATCAGATTGGGTGGAGATGTTCCTTTGGTTTTGCCATTCTCAAAGATAATTTGTTATTTTAGAGAAAAATCTACAATTCCAAGAAAATTGCTTGCTTTTCAGACATGCCAAAATGGCTCGGACATATATTTCAATGTCAAAATGTTTTTGTCCCCTTTCACTAAATCAGTAAATTTTTATACCCTCACTTTGTTTCTAATCCTCTCTTGCCAGCCCAAAATTACATCTTGGCCATTGGCCGTATTGGTTGAGTCTGTGACAAACTGAAAATATCCCTTAAATTAAATTCTTTATATTAGTGGTACAGAAAAAAAAAATCCCAGTTCCTGCCAAGAACGCTGTAAATTCTTTTGCTTTTTAAAAGATGTGCAAAATACATGAGCTGAAAAATAGTATTTTCCTGATCTGTTTGGGAGGTGGGTGGGAGCGAGGATTTTGTGATCGGAATAACCGAGATTCAGATTCTAAAAGGCCAGCGAACCTTCAGCCTGTTGTACAGTCATTACTATAAAGTTTGATTTTTGTATAACTTGGTGGCATCTTGTTGTCATGTTGTGTTTGTACTTGTGTAGAATGACAAATAAACCCATAAGGTTTAGGGTGTGAAAGAATTCTTGCTCATTGGAGTAGTCATCTTGGTTTAATATTTGAGCACATAGGTTTGCAATAAATGCTGGGTACCAAGGATCAGAAAAGCTGACCAGTGTGTCTAGATTAGGCTTCCCTAACCTGGTGTCTTCTGAGTCAGTTAGAATTACAACTCGCAGCTAAGATGAATTATCCCAGCATGGGCGGATGGAACTATATTGGGGCGAAGTTAATATACTTAATATTTTAATTCCATAAACCAGTGTTTCTCAACCTTGGCAACTTCAAGATGTGTGGACTTCAACTCCCAGAATTAAGAACCCCTGCGATGGACAGTTTTTACATGGTTGAATCTTGCAATTTCTGTTAATACCTACGTAAAGGGCAGTTTACAAAGGGACGCAGTGGTGATCAGAAAGGTTGGCAGTTTGGCGGTTCGAATCCCTAGCGCCGCGTAACAGAATGAGCCCCCAGTACTTGTCCCAGCTTCTGCCAACCTAGCAGTTCGAAAGCACATCTTGAAGTTGCCAAGGTTGAGAAACACTGGTTTATGGAATTAAAATATTAAGTATATTAACTTCGCCCCNAGGAGGAGGAGGAGGAGGAGGAGGAGGAGGAGGAGGCTGGCTGGCTGGCAGGCTGAGGGTGCTGGGGTGTGTGCGTCACAATGGGAGACCCCATTCTGCTCCAGCAGGGGCAGCCAACGTTCGGCCCAAAGTGGTGGACTTCAGGCTGGTGCTTCCCCGCTTTAGTCCTCTGCTGCTGAGAGAGAACGGAGTCGGGGGGCCCTTTTGGCACTTCTTGGGTCTTCAAGAGAGTCAGCAAAAGCCCCGAGGAAGCGGGAGGACTCTCCTTCTTGGCCAAGTGGCTGCTTCCAGCGGAGGTCTGGCTGGTGGGCGTCTCCCATTCAACCTCCTTCCCTCCAGCCTCACCCGCTTTAATCTGGTTGCGGGGAGGGCAGAACCCACCAGCCAGAGCCCCCGCCTCTTTCCCCTTGCTCCTTGCTTGGATCCTTTCCTGGCTGCTCTCAGCTGAAGAGCCCTTCCTCCACAAATGAGGCCACCTTCCTCCTTGGAGTAAGTTCCACCCTTCACCCCTTGTGCCCCACTTATCTCTTCGTCTCACTGGGGTTCGGGATCATGTAACTTTATTGGACTTCCTGCATTGAAACATCCGGCCCTTCTGGTCTCTTCCCCATACTCTGTTGCCCACAGGGAGGCCTTGGCACCCAACCCACTTCCTGTACTCAGGTGCCCCTTAGTGGCTGCCTTCTCATTCTGTGCCTGGAATTGGGCTCACCTTATTTTATGGACCATCTCCTGGATCAGGCTGGCCCGGTCCCCTCCCAGATGCCCCCCCCCCATCCTAGGGACACTCCACCCAGCCAGACATCTCCAGGGGACTTTCTTCTTGGCTTCAGCTGGTTGTCTCCAGGGCTCCAACCAAGAGAGCCACCCCAGTTCAGGACATCCCAGACCAGGGAGGAACAACCCCTCCCCCCCCCAAGGGCACCTGGGACAGGGCGTGCCCCTGCCTCCGCTTCTTGGGGATGCTCCACCTGCCTGTGTGGCAAACCCCAGGCGACAGGCAATGGCCGGGAGAGGAGCTGAAGCTGTGTGGAGCTGGCGAGCGACAGTCGGGATCTCTGCCTCCATCCCCTCCAAAGAGGCCTTTGGCCATGTTAAAGGGCCTCCGGGGATCGGAGTACAGAAAGGGCAGAGGAGAGGTGGCAGCTCCTGGGGAGGGACTGGCCACTGCCTGCTCAGGAACCATCATTAAGCCACGTTCAAGGATAGTTTTTGCGTCTGCAAATACATCCCCTCAATTGTGAGGCTTCCCAGCATATTTATCAAAACTCTGACAAACACATGTAAAGCTATGTTAACATGTAACATGTGTTGACACGTAAAACACTTTCACAAGCTGCAAAATTGTTTTCAAGTTGCGAAGAAGATGCTCGCTGTGGATAAAAAGTATTTGTAAGCCAGGTCCCCTTTCTCTGGATCAAGAGGAGGCTGCCAGATGGATCCGGATTCAGAATCACAGAATTATAGAGTTGGAAGGGACCTTGGAGGTCATCTAGAACAACCCCCTGCTCAGGCAGGAGACCCTACGCATTTTCAGACAAGCGGCTGTCCAGTCTCTTCTTGAAAGCCTCCAGTGATGAAGCATCTGAAAGGCCTGGAGGCCGGGAGTTCCACTGGTTAACTGTCAAGGCTGAAACTTCCTTCTGAATTCAGAGATCTTTGGGAATAGGGTTTTTTTTGGGGGGGGGGGGTTGATGTCACACAGTGGGAGAAGGGGCCGGTCTCCCCTTCATTAGGCTACTTCTGCCAGGCCTGATAGGATGGGGAGAGGTCACCAGAGATGAAAAGGGGTCCTGTGCCACACAGGGCTTTGTGAGTCCTGATCAGCACCTTGGATGGAAGCCAGGAGGTCCTGGGCAACCAGTGCCACTAATGTGGCCAATGAGGAGCATCCATGACTGGCCATGCAGCTGCATCCGAGTGCCATCTGCCAGCCAGTGCCGGCTGGCAACTACGCGGAGGAGAGCCTTTTCAGTAGTAGCTCCGCCCCTTTGGAACGATCTCCCCGTGGAGATTCGTACCCTCACCGCCCTCCAGACCTTCCGCACGGCCCTCAAGATCTGGCTATCCCGTCAGGCCTGGGGGTAAAGATCGTAATCCGTCCCCTCCCAAATGATGAATGAATGTTGCTCGATTTTTAATTATACATTGTGTTATATGTCATTGTATGTTCCCCCCCCCCCCATATAAGTTGTTAGCCGCCCTGAATCCCCTCAGGGAAAAGGGCGGCCTATAAATAAACTTATTCAATTCAATTCAATTCAATTCAATT